AGCTTTAGGACCAGCAATTACTGCTCACAACTTTCATCCATACCAATCACATTCTTAAGAGTGTGCATTAAAAACAACGTCATTGACAATTCATGCTGACATTTCTAAATGTCCTTCTTTCACTTCCTCACTCCCATGCCAACAACAACAACAAAAATCTGTGTAACACTTGCAACTCATGCAGTATGTCTAGCCAAGGCCTAGCCTCATCCCTTCCTCTCCCCTCTTGTTTGCCTGCACACCACTGCACAGGTAGGTGTTGCATTTTTCCAGCAAGGAGGTCCGCTTTGTCATTTCTTTCTTCAGTTGCCTAAACTAAAAAACACCTCAAAGCCTTTTCTTTTGTGGAAAGTGCTCTCTACTTCCTTGATACATTGGACTGCCCTTTTCTGCCCTCCTCCCAATGCAAACAGTGCAATCCTAAACAGAGTTACGTCCTTCTAAAACCATTGACTTCAATGCACTTAGAAGATTAGCACTGCAGTGAAAGACAGACTTTTTGAGATAGGCATGACCAGAAGTGTAACACAGTATGTATAAATTCAGGAAAGTAGCCGTGTCGGTCTGAAGCAAGAGAACAGAGTTTGAGTCCAGTGGCACCTTTAAGACCAACAAAGTTTTATTCTGGATATTAATCTTCATGTGCACGCACATGGAGGAAGAGTTGGTCTTAAAGGTGCCACTGGACGCAAACTTTGTTCTGCAGTATATACAAATAGGGCTGCACTGTAGAGTTATACAAGGCCTTTATGATGCTCGCAATTTTACTCCCAACTCTTTTTCTAATAATCTAATAATAAACCGCAGAATATGTGTCTTTCTCACTTCCGCTGTACAGTAAGTCAACATGGAGCTATCCAGCAGTACCACAAACCTCTTTTCTGGTCAGTCACTTCGTGTGACTGGACAGCCAGTATGATACAGCAGTTAGAAAGTCAAACTAGGATCTGGGAGATCCAGGTTCAAACTCCCATTCTGCTGCGGAAGCCTGCTGGGTGACCTTGGGCAGTACACATGCTCAGTCTAATCGAAGAACATAAGAGACACACCACGTTGGATCAGGCCATTGGCCCATCCAGTCCAACGCTCTGTGCCACACAGTGGCCAAAACCCAGATACCATCAGGAGGTACACCAGTGGAGCCAGAACTCCAGAAGCCCTGCCACTGCTACCCCCAAGCACCAAGAACACAGAGCATCACTGCCCCGGGGTTGTTATAAGGATAAAACAGAAGAGAGAAGAGCAATGTAAGCTGCTTTGAAATTCAATTAGGGAGCAAGGTGGGTGTCAGCAAGCTGCCAGAGAGTTTCCATTTCTTGTATTCGCACATGCGCATTCCTTTCCTTACGCTTAATTGCAGCTGTACCGCACCATGTATCTTTCAAGGCCACAGGGGGAGTAGCCGGGGAGTTTGCTTAGCTTTAGCTTTGGCTACATCAGGATGGGCCGTGGGAAGCTCATACCTGTTTTGGTTTCGGGGACGGTTGATTCCCAAGCCTCCTGGCGCGCGCGGGAACCGACCCCATTGGGCATTGCTGCTTTGAATATACTATAACCCTATATGCGCATAGCTGACCCGTTATTCCTAACAGTGTTTGTGTTCATGCATCTATGGCTTCAATAAAAGTATGACCTTTCCTGTAAAGTGTGTACTCCGTTGTTGCTGTGGGACCTGACAGTGGGCTATAAATGAAACAAATAAACAGTTAGACCCCAACAGTTTATATGTAAAGTTATGTTTTGCCATCTGCCATGCTGTTGCACATTCCTCAAGCTAAGATGCTTTTGAAGCTCTTCACTGTCTTAAGTCAGCTGTTGTCACCTACAAACATGGCCATCTTCCTGCTCACCCTAGGAAACCCCACTGCTCGTTACCCTGTACTATGGACAAACCCATAGCTACACTGGGACTTTTGGGAGCTCTGCCCCCTTTCTTAAAGGCACAGCCCCACAAGAATTTATCCTGTAAATGCTTTTTTCAATCATCTTTAAACATTTTTTAAAAGGCATGTGCTCCTTTAAGAAGAGTGGGGTGCTGTAGTTGATTAATTCCTGAACTGAGCAAGGGGGTTGGAGTAGGTGACCTCTAGGATTCCTTCTAGCTCTGCAACAAGAAACTGGTCTTCTTTAAGAGAGCTTTTCTGCCTAAGTGATAGCTTTCTTGACTATAGAAGTCATCACTCCCACCTGCCGGCTTGTTGGAATTGTTGCTTAGGCTGGCAGAAGTTATTAACTTGCAGCAGATGAGAACTATCATCTAAAGTGGTTGATAGTTTGCAGTTTAGCTATCTATCCTGGTAACAGCTTTCTATTGGCTAAGTGGTTAAGAACACCTTTATAGAATAACTTGAGAAGACTCAGAAGAGACTGCCTTGAAGCTCTCTTCAACTTCCACCCTGCTGCTATGTTTCCAGAGACTCTGCTCATCAGGCATGCCAACTGAGATGGCTGAGCTATGCGCCTGATAGGAAAAGCAGTGAGTAGAATATCTAGCTAGGGCTTTTGTTTTGGTTTGCATTCCTTGCTGAACTGTATACATTCTTTCCCCTATCTATGTGTTTTTGTCCTTTGTTTTTATAAATAAGGTTTTATGTGTTTTTATACAAATTGGAGTGGGTTTACTGGCCAAACCCAGGTAAATATTTCCAGTGCCACACCTACCACCTACCAGAGAACTTATCCCCCTCCCCCTTTTCTTCGCCTGCTATTGTCACACTCTGGGGGTAAGATTTGCAGAAGCCTCTATGCTTTGATTTTAAAAGGCTTGATTCCACAGTAGCTGAGTCATAATCCTCAGAATTCTGGCTTTTCTTTCTGCACTCAGAACATTCCCCCCAAAAAAAAAAAATTCACCACAAACGCCACAAAATCCTGGCTACGGGCCAGACTGTGGAAGTTGTCCATGTAGTCCTACCTTCTGTTTCTGTTGTATAACCAATTAAAAGTCCAGTGGCACTTTCAAGACCATCAAAGTTTTATTCAAGTATGAGGTTTTGTGTGCACGTATGCTTTTTTAGATACATTGGAAGGAAGGTAGGTTCAAACTTATAGACGGGCTGAACAGTAAAGCCAGTTACTGTGACAGGACCCATCCTCTCAACCCATGAGAGCAGATCCAATTAATTGGCTTTTTCCACACAACACATAATTAACATAGGATCCAGTGTCCCAAAATGTCGGCATGGCCACTAGCTTGGATGGCTTTAAAGAGGAGTTGAGGAATTTATGTAGTTGATGCAAAAGTATTACATGCACCTTATCCAGAACAGCAAGCTCTCAAGTGGCACAATTCGCACAACCAGGCAGGGACCGCAAGAAAGACGGCATGACAAAAAACCAAGGACATCTCCTAGCATTCCTTTGGCACTGGAATGCGTGTTTTGCCCTAACAGAGTGCAGAGCTATCTTGTTATCCTAACCTGGATACGCCCAGAATGAAGAGCTACAGGATAAAGGAAGGGAGACCAAATTGCCACCCCCAAAGTGAATTCAAATAAAGTGTGGCATTACTGGCATATGGGAAGGGTGAGGTACAGAGTCTCCCGCTTACCCACAATGTTTGGGTTACAAGAAGAAGGAAGTACAGGACACTACAGCATTTCCTCAATAACAGAAAACAAGACAGGGTTTGAATCCTATGACAACCGAGTTCCCCAACATGACTGCATATGGCTTGCACCACATAAGATGGCTGGGTGAGTGGCTGCTTTCTCTCAGCCTAACCTACCTCACAAGGATTCTCACAATTTTGGGTACATCAGTCTCCATCCCTGACATATTACCTATGTTGTGTCCCCCCCATTGAACCCAAACAGATGATAACCAGAAACCAAGCTTGTCATTCTTTTTATCTGTTAAAAAAATCTTCACTATTTTGCATGCTAATCTAACAAGCCACCCTCTCTATACACAACTGTGATCTGTAATTCCATTTAACTGTCTGACATGTGCAAGCACATGAAAGCTCACACCTTGAATAAAACTTTGTTGGTCTTAAAAGTGCCACTGGACTCCAACTTTGTTCTACCTCAGGAGGTTGTGAGGCTAAAATGGAGGAGGAGAAAAACAATGTCGTAAGGCGATTTGGAGAGAAGTGTGTATAAATGAGATAACCTCACAGAAGATCTCCTGCAATCCGGAAGTTGTATTAATGAACAAATGGGACGATACAGTAAGAGATGAGGAGAAAGAAATTACCGCAACGTTGCTTGCAACTGTGAAATTAGTAATAGCTGCAGGATGGAAAACACCACACCCTCTGACTCTTAAAGCATGGCAAGATAAAACATGGGAACAGTTCGTAATGGCAAAAATAATGGACCAGAATAATAGTGCGCAAACGCAAATCACTAAGTCACATGCAAAATTTACGTGAAAATGGGAACTGGTAATAGATTACCTGACAAGACATGAAATAATCCCATCTAATCCACAGTATCATAATTGGTTATTTGTCTG